ATAAAAGGGTACTAGCGACGCTAGGATGTATTTTGACTGATGGAGTCATGAGTAAGTTGGAATTAGGTTTCCCAGTTCTGCTCCTGTAACCCCAATCAGGAGCAGTCGCTGCCTCTAAGGAAGACCGTGCTGCAGCCATCCTTCTTGTGTACAGGATCGTTGAGTTTGCACGGTAGGACGTTAGACAAGTTCTGAGCGCAGAGCAGACTGGGCCTATACGAATTGCCCATTCTGCTTGTTCTCACCTGCTCACAGCACATACCCGTGAAGACCTAATGACAAACATCGCCCTTTTGAATGAGCATACGAATCGAACGCTGCCCAGCTAGCATATGGGATGAATGATAGGACTTACTTGTAGATAGCAACATCATCAATGATCACGACATTTCTGACTTCTGAATTGTTTGGCGATATCTGAAATACATTTAGTTCCCTACTGAGCATATCTACCTGAAATTGGAGTCTGTTTAGACCTCAAAAGTGACAAGCCGTTCACCACCATCACGAATACAACCCGATATGACGTCTTCCGAACCGACAAATGCCATTATGCAAGAAAATCCGCCGGAAAACAGACAAGGAATAAATTTCTGAAATACGAGAGATTTCAAGTAAGGAGTCAGGATTAGTAGTTCCCCTAGTTGTGCTAATTACTGTGGGTCCGTTTCTTCACCATCTGTATCTTACACGTATGCAATGATTGCATGAGCGTAAAGTCAAAGATTAAGTCAAGTCTTCAGCGAATCTCTAGACGGACTAGCTGACGTGGAAGTGTTCTTCGGCTTGAAGTTTGTATGGTTGAGGTGTGTGGCGCTTTGCTCGGTTCTTAGCTAATTGCCGAGCAGAACGTCGTAGCTTTGTTGGTCGCCTTAGTTATTTGTCCCATTGAAAGCCGTTTGACTGGCTCGTTACCCTACAGTAAGACAGTATTCTGCATTGCATGGCTTTGTGCGAATGGAGCACTGTGCCCATGATATGCTTTTTGGAGCTCCACCTTGTGAGGGAGGGCGTAGTCTTCAGTCAAACTGTGGCCTTATCAGGATAACGAGTATGCGAGTTTGGCGGAATACAAAACTCCCAAAGGTATCAGTAATACATGATATGAATGTGTAATACGGTAATAGTCATATATGTACGTACAGGATCCTCGAGACATCCAGTAAAACTGACCACTCCCGTGGCCAGAGCCCGTTCTTGGGCTAAGCTTGAGTGTTGCTACATGGTGGTCGTAAGGATTTTGTCCGTCAACGGACCAACGGATCACCCTGGTAAGTAATGGCCAGTTCTCGAAATAGCCGTTTTACTCGGATCCATGCCGGAAAAGGCTAAGAGAGCTCGGTTATCTGTAGGTTGCGCAGAGCTATGTAGAAGGGGCCGATAAAGTGGTTGAAGAACCTAGCTACCAGCCAGAACCTGCATTCAGAGTTACTGTATCGGTTATTCGTTACTTTCAAACAACTTTCAATAGTCGGAGTGACGTTCGACACAAATTAACGAGCATGATTTGAAACGAATCAAAGACGTAGCCCAAGTAGCACCGAAAAGTTACCGTTGTACTGTTCTCGTCATTGCAATCCTCATCAACAGCTGTACTGAATAACATCTTCTTATTGCCAGGATAAGGTTGATATGGGCACAAACCGTAAGAGGGCCAAGTTCTAAAAACAAGTTCGTCGTGGAGGAGCTGGTTCCCCAATTATCAGAATCTCCTAGGAGTTTCGATGAGCTCAGAGGCGTTGTATACGACCAGCGCTGGAGCAGAGATCTGGCCACAACTGCCACCTGCGCTGTGGAAGACAGTCGAGAAGACACCTGCGGATTCTCCTCACCTCGTTTCAGTGAGGTTAGCACAATAGTGGTTCCGAGCATTGATCGTAAACAACGATTTAGGTTTGACTAGAACGAAATCCAACCTACAAGGCTGAGTTCTTCTTGCTCTTGAAATGCCGACAATGAACACCAACACTATGGCGACCGCATGCATTCAATAGAAACCTCACTGAAGATCCTCTGTAAACAACAGGCTAGTTATCACAAAATGCTCCTCCAATAACAGTAGTGATGAATGACCTCATTAACATCCTCACCACTTTGAGCTTGAAGTCCTTTCCTTACTCCAATACTAGGCTACTTTAAACTCCTCAATGAGTTCTGCCCACCAAACAGGTTCCCCAATAAAATTATATTGGCTTGAATTCTGTGCTAAGCCTAAGTTTGAACGATTTCTGGCTCTTATAAATTCCCGCTCGGTATGCGCCCTAGATTTGGATCTCCATTCAGAACCGTGGAATGGTTTGATTGTGAATTTGATATAAACAATGACTTTGAGAGCCCAGTCGTACAGGCTACTACCACCCAAGCTAATCCGATAACAACTGAAGGACCGCGAATAAATGGAAGCTCGGCCGGTTTTGAAGGAAGAGACCAAAAGACCACGGTCCCCATCACTGTACGATGTGTGTGGTGGCTGCTCTTCAATGCATCCCCTCCCCACTTGCCCACCCCCTGCCTCCTCAACCTTTCTTTGCTGAAATCTCTCTTTGTACTAGTTTTTTCACTTCGTTTTCCCTAATGGCTTTGCTAGTTTCCTCACCATTAACTCCTTAACGACTTAATCGCACGCAATCCACCTTCATCAAAAAAAAAACTCATCTTTTTTCGGCATTTTCCACAAAACAACCGGATTATACGATGAAAAAACATCGTAAAAGCCGTAATGGGAGGGCTGGTTACGCAGTTTTTGTCGGCGATGATGGGTCGTTGTCGTCACTGTTTGTGAAAATCTCTCCGACAGAGCCACACACAGCTGATCGCTTCCAGAATGTC